CCCCCCAGGCTGACTGCACAGGCTGGATGGGTCTGTTCTGCATGAACATGCTGCAGATCGCCCTGGAGCTGTGCCGTAAGGATAGCAGCTACACAGACATGGCTATCAAGTTCCTCAAGCACTTCCTCAACATCGCCAAGGCCATCAACCGCTCAGTGGACGACGGAGGTATACTATAGAAACCAGGATGAATAGTTTCGACTTTGTTTTCTTTTCTTTGTCATTATTTCCTTTTGTCTTTGTGGATGGAAGAGAACAAGTTCCTCTGTGCTCAAACAAATGAACAAATGAATACTTTTAAGCACTGTTGATCTGCAGAACAGGGGAAGTTGATTCTGTTTTCTTTTCTTTTATAATTTTGTTGTTGATTTGTTTTTAAAAATATAATTTCCTTTTTCTTAAAAAAAAATTATTTGCTTTTCTTTTTAAAAAGGGTTTCCTTATAAAGAAAATGATTTCCATTTCTTTTTAATGATTATTTCTCTGTTTCTTTTTATAATTATTTTCCTTTTTTTGTTTGAAATGATTTCCTTTTCTTTTTCGAATTTTCAAATGTATTTATCTTTCTTTTCAAAATCCTTTTTTTGCCAGGTCTTTGGATGGAGGAGGACAAGTTCTTCTACGACGTTCTGCATTACCAGGACCCCCACTGTGCAGCCGTCCGCGTACGCTCGTGGTCCGGCATAGTGCCTCTGTTAGCCTGCACATCCATCAACCTGAAACACTCACCACTGGTCAAGTCGTTCCTGCTTAAGTGTGACCGCGGCTTTTCACCGTTTGTGAGTAGGCTGTCAATGTTGGATACTTATTGAAGATAGTGGAAATCAACTAGAGGCAATAGATATGCGGTTTGGAGACTTTTGAGGATATCATAGATGAGAAGATCAAACAATTTTTTAAAATGTGTGGCATTGGGGTGAAATCATCTGCTTGTCAAAATAGTGAAATTAAAGAAACTAACATTTTGCACCTGTTATGCAATTCTTTTAATTGTTTTTCTTTAGCTCAACACCTTTCGTATTCTCTTAAAAACACATCTATGTGTGAATTCCGCTGAAAAATTGGGTGAAAGGCACAAATATGTAAATTTGGAGTTTCAAAGGATACTTAAGCTTTGGGAGTCACCAAACTCTGGCAGCGATTTTCTTGCTAACTTTACCTCTTACTGGAGTTGACCCCACTTCCTTCAATCGCAGATATTTTGACTTCTATTCAAGATAGGTGGGTATTTTTCTATCAAAATCAAGACAAATGAATCAGCTTTAAGATGATTTTTTAAAAACATAAAATGCCCAAAAATTGATGAGCACCTTATTCCACCATGTTTCGACTCAAACAGATCTTCACATCCTTGATTATAAGGTTCCTATAAGTACCTTTCCGCATCCGGTAGACAGATAAAGGTACTAAAACAATTAGACTCCCCATGTTGGAATTGATCGGCTTAGTTATCTGATATTTATCTTCACTTGACATCACTTAGCCCTTTCGTTGCCAAGGGATATACGTTCCTACTGTCAGCACCGATTTTCAGCTGAGCTCGTTACCAAGGAGAGCAGCCTAATGTCTCAGTGTTAATGGACGCCCGCTCTAGATCTAGCGCACTTATGACATATTTCGGACACCAGGTCTTCGATGGTCACTTTTCTTTCTCCCCATCTCCTCCCATCTTACTCATAATTTCGAATAACCTGTAAATCTTAGTAAAAAAGTGAATTTATTTGCCTTTTTAAAGTCATTTCGATGTTTACATTTTACCAAAGCACGCGGCCGCCCGCAAGCCCAGCAGTAAAGTAATGCTAGTAAATTTGGTACCTATATGCATATGCGTGTCTTTTGTTCCCGGATATGAATCAATGCAGCACTTATGGCTAAAACTCCGTACAGAAGAATAAGTGCCAGGCTATTAGAGTGATGTACGTGTAACATCATATAGGGAATCAGGAGCATCAATTTTTGCCAATTTCCATAACGTACATGGTACGGCACAGCGCTAAAAATTACTCATTTTCATGACGTATGAGGTACATCACAAGGCAACGAAGGGATTAATGGTATTTAAACTCAGTTCACAAATCACTTTACCACAGGAAACTTCTTTTGAAACTGTGTTGTTTTCTGTGATGTGTGTGATAAATTGTGTTTTATTTTACATTTTCTTAGGTTTGCAAACTGGGAGAGAATGAGTTTTTCCTGACCCTGGTCTCCTACACAAAACTCAAGGTCATTCTGAAGATCGTCTTCTCGGAGAATGAATTCCTCTCGCCCTTTGGCATCCGGTCATTGTCAAAGGTCAGAATCGGTGACATAAATAAGATCTACATTTGGGTGATCGGAGGGTGCCTGTGGTTGGTCCAACTTCTTTTCTTTCCCTCTGTTGTTTCTCTCTGCCTTACTTACCCCCCTACACTAAGTATACTGCTATGTGAATGTGCTTTCCTTTACTCATACTCTAACTCAAGCTAAATTTTATGAGTGCAAAAAAAATTTTTTACGGTACCGGAGGATATGAAAAGCTTTTACGATAGCATGTTATTTCTTATGGGCGTATTGACTTTCATAGTCAGACCAGACCATCAATGATTTTTTTATAGAGGCACCAGCCATCCATGTCCAGGTGCTGTTTTAGCCTCTTTTTCCTGTATTCGGATTAATAATATCTTTTTGCCAATTTATTGGTTCCGCTTCTATGTACCCCATATCTATGGTTCTCAACCTGGAAATCGCCCATAATTCGCTGTAATTGTCTCCCCCCCCTCCCCCCACTCCCTCTCATCACCCCCCCCCCTTCATAGTGTCATCATTTATAGTCTGTTATATGTAAACAACGTCTGTGCTGTAGTGGTGAGGTGCTTCGCTATCTCGTGTAGAAGGCTTGGGTTCGCTTTCAGTGTTGGGAGAATTTTTATCGAGTATCTGACGTTTCTGCTGGGTTACTGTATCCCTCTCAGCCTAGGTTGGAAGCCTGCCTCCTAAATTTATGGCGATGGGGGCTAGTTAAAACATATACATTTCCAATTTTTATAAAAAAAGTCTTGCATGTGTTTTGATGATAATGATCTATTGTTTTGTTTAGCTGCATGGATGATTATATTCTGTAATTACTTGTGAGTACATGGATTACCTTTACCTGTACTTTCTTTCAGGATGTTGTTTGGATTATCATAATTTTAATTTTTAACGCAGCTGTATGGATTATCACAATTTTTTATTTCTAAAACAGTTGTATAGATTATGATAATTTTAAATTTCTAACACAGTCGTTTGGATTATGATAATTTTAAATTTCTAACAAAGCTGTATGGGTGATAATAATTTCTAATATTTTTACACGGCTTTGGGAATTTCATAATTTCTAATTTTTTTAACGCATCCTTGTATGGTTTATCATAATCTGCCATTTTCCTACTCAGATATATCAGAGTAAACCTTACCACTTCGACATCGGCGGCAAAACCATGAGCATCAAGTACACACCGGGGGAGTCCGACTCCAAGCTGTTCGGAGGCAACAGTAACTGGAGGGGACCCATCTGGCTCTGCAGTGAGTTCTGAATTCTGGGGGCTGTTTTGTCGGGAGGAAGGCATTCTCCTGCATCTGTTTATGATGTGTCTCCGTCTTTCTGCTGGGCTAGCCCTGACAGGCAGTATGGAAGTAGCGAGTCGTCTTCTACATGATCTTAATTCTGTGGATGGGGGTGTAAAACTTCTCCAAATTTACATCAGGTTGCAGCAGTCGGCCTCCTGAATTATCTAACTTATGTTGCTGGGGTGGGGAGGAGAGAGGGGGGAGGGTTAAACACCAACCGTAACCAGTTACTACTGCAGTAAGAAAGGATTCCGGAGAAAGTATATTTAGAACCCCCCTCCCCTCACCCCCCACCCCACCTAATTTGGAAGAGATCTGACCTAACTCACAGACTTGGTATCACTGTAGGAAAGATTACAATTGGGTTATTGCTATGTCTCACAGGAACAAGTAATAGCTGATTGTGATCTTCCATGTTTGCATAGACATGGGGGCTATATTTTACTTTAATTGGAATTCCAATCCTTGACACCAACCAATCTTATATGGAAAATGATATTGTTATAGAGTAGCTATAGAAATTGGTTGGGAGAATATGACTATTTCATTTTGTGTTGAGTTCTGCTTCGTCAGACTATTTCGTCAAAGTTTTGGAGGATGCCGCTGGTAGGTCCTACTTCTTTTCTTGCCCTCAGTTATTTGTTGTACCTGTCTGTCTTACTTTTTCCCTTCACTAAATGACACAGACTGGGTCAAGGTGCTTCTCTCTTGTACTTAAACAAACAAACAAAAGCAGTTACGCCTTTTTTTTTTCCTTTCAGTGAACTACATGTTTGTAGAGTGCTTGGAGAAATATTCCGACCTTGACAGAGTGTTCACCTTACCACTCAGTGTACAGTACCCGACCGGAACTGCCTCAGTAAGTCTGCCTGTACTTATTTCTACTGGGAAAATTGAGTGTTTGTTTTTTCCCAGGGTCTGTCAGAAACAGATTTGAAAATACAGCCTAGTAAGTAAACACAGATAGCAAAATTAGCGGGATGCGGAAATTTTTTTGTTTTGTACAAATTTAATCTTGCATGTGGGTTTGTTTTTTTTACAAAGAATATATATTTATGAGAAAAAATTCGGGACCTGAAATTCTGTTCACCATGTGAGCATTCACTGTGTGTGTGCTGGACTGAATATATAGTGACCAATTTGTATCAGCAGCACTGTTCTAACAAATTCTCAAATATACAAATGTTTATTTTCTTTCCAAAAAATTCTTGGTTTTTCTTTGAGATCGGTATGTTGTATAACTTTACTAAGTCCAATGCCTCTGACCTTACAGTTTCATGTCTTGTTCAAGGACCTGCAGATTTTTTTTCTTTTTACCGTTGTGGTAATGGTTAGTCGATTCCAGTGTGGGGAACATGTTTTATCTATCATCGGCACCTTTCTTCTGGGAGGTGTCCCACACAAAGCTCTTATTGACCTTGTCTGTCAAGCTTGAACCACCTGCTTTGCAGATGCTTTTAGTTGTATTTTTGGATGGATGAAACATAAACAATATATACTTTTGGATATTCATTTTGCTTAATTTAGCATGGTATCACCTTTTAATGGTTTGCTGCTGAATAACTGCAAAGCTTGTGAAATGAAGTAGGTTGCATCTACTCTTTTCCAGGTGCCAGAAGTCATTTGCAACTATGTTTCGCCACTCATTTCTCTGCTTGATGCTCTCATAAAACCTAAGTATTATCCTGGTCCTTTCCATCACTCATCTGTTCAAGTTCTCTATGTATATTATTCAGAACCAGAGGAGCATAATATGCTCATAAATTCCTGGATAATATATATAGTTACAGAGTTAAGATCTGTTCTTTACGAAACAAATTGTGAGTGGTTGGAAGCAGTCGTTGATAGGTCCTTCTTCTTTTCTTTACCTCTCTCTATATGGTTTCTGCTTGCCTTTCTTGCCTTTTTTTTTCCCCAGCTCTGAATGACCACTCTTGTGTTGATGTGCTGTTCTTTACTCACACAAACAAAACTATAGACAGATCTCCACCTTCTGTTATGTTTCAGAAGTTGACATTTCTCGCAATTGCTCAGGATCTGTGTCAGAGAGTTCTCAGTATCTTCCTGCCCAACGTGTGGGGGGCGCGGCCTGTTCATGGTGAGTAACACGACAGGTGCTGGTTTTTGTGCCTGTCTAAATGAGCTGTATTGTGTTCATATGGTGCTTCTCTTTATTTACGATCAACAACTGAACTGCTTGTTTTGTCGATAAATATAGAAATCTGGATATCCGAAATTTTATGGACTTTGCCCTTGAAACAGAAAAAGTCTCGGTACAAAATGTAATAGACATTATAATCTGTGAATTTTTAGTCCCCACACACTCGCGCTTTTCCACGGGATTTGAAAACTTCCAGATTTTTCTTCCAAGCCAGTCGGCACCTCTGAAATTGAAATGCTTTGTGTGAATCTTTCAGGTTCGCACAGCAAGTATGCCAATGATTTCGACCTAGCATCTCTTTGTTTTGTAGTAGTTATGCTCATGATTATAAGGATGAAAAAAGGTGGAAATAGTCTTATATTACAAACTCACGTACACACACACACACACACACACACACACACACACACACACACACACACACACACACACACACACACACACATGAATGCTCACTCACACATAAACTTCTGTCAAGACATTGCGCACTCTTTTTAACACTTACAGTACTGTCGGCGACTTTAGTCGCCAGGCCATAGCATGCCCTCACTACTGCTGGTGACTTTAGTCGCCGACACAACCAGGCACACTAAACATAGTTAAACAATGAATGGACGCACTGCACTAAAGTAAATACCAAAGGAAGTCACTCTATATGGTAGCTGAATGGTTGATGGACCTCTCTGAATTTTTAAAGCGTGTTTCTTGGGCTGCCAAGGTTTTTCTTATTAAAAAAAAAATTCTACCACAGCTTCAGCGTTCTAACTGGTGCGGTACCCAAGGGTTTCTCACTATATGAGCCTTCGGTACTGTAAGTGTTAAAGAGTCATCTCCTAAATGATCAAATTTGTGTTGATAGGCGTGTAAGACATTTTACAAGATGATATTTTGTTGATCCAGTTTTGTGTGTGACTTTCAGGCACCCACAGCAAGTATGCCAAAGATTCAGACTGGGAATCCCAAATCTTGTTCTACGAATATTTCCACGCAGACACGGGCAGAGGGTGTGGGGCAAGGTATGTGTGGCCTCTCTCATGTGGCACTGGTGGCCTTGTGGTTAGACTACCAGACTCGTAATAGTGAGATTGCGGGTTTGGGGGTTCGAGCCGTCTTTCCTATGTCTTATTTTTTTCATTATAACATTTTGCTCTTTGCTGGTCAGGACATTCTACATTTTTCTCTAATTGTAACATTTTGTGGGTGGTTGGTGGGTGCTGTGGTGTGGTTTACTCCTTTTTTCTTATCAAACACCTATCGTCCTGATCTCTCCTCCTTTTTTTTATGTTTGTTACTCTCTTGTAACAGGACTAATCTTCGGCACTTATATGACTTTTTGGTGTTGACTCTTACTAAAACTGTAACATTTTTCTCTTTGCTGGCCAAGATATTTGACGTTTTTCTTTAATTGTAACATTTTCTTCTTCCTGGTCTGGCTGTTCTGAATGTTTCTTTTATTATAGCAGGTGACTCCAAAAGTCATGTGTCTTACCATCTGGCTATGTGTGTGTGTGGGTGGGTCTCCAGTCTGTTGTTGACTGAGTATTTTTGCACTGTGTTATCCATCCGCCTCTTTGTTTTTTGTCAGTCCCTATGTGTATGGGTTGGCAATATTGATACTATTAATCTGTCTGTCAGTGTTTCTGTAGATCTGTGTTTCTATCTATAAATCCATCCATCCATCTGTCGATCCTTTTATCCATCCGTCCATCCATCTGTCTGTCAGTCTGTCTGTCTGTCTGTCTGTCTGCCTGAAATATCTATCTGTCAAATTGAGCAATGATTATTGAAATGACTTGCCATATTACTGCTCTCTTCTCACACTTTCTCAATAAAAAAATAATCATAATGTCCTACCATAATTTATCTGCTCTTCTTTCCCCAGCCACCAGACAGGATGGTCTGCCCTTGTCTTGGAGTTTATTCACAAGTTATATCGAGGACAGGTTAAAAATAGCTAACACTCGAAAGTAATTCCTCCCAGTCATCTGTACCTGTGATGCTCTTTCGAAATCCGTGTTTATCTGTGTTATTTGCTTACAGTTTGTTTTGCATAACTCCCTGTTTATCTGTGCAATATTTACTTTTTGTAACTCCCTAATTGTCTGTGCAAGTAAAAAATGTATGTTGCCTACCGATACCATCCCAAAGAAAAAACTACTGCCACCTAAACATGTACACTAGTCCCCGCCTAAACACGCGCCATAGAAAAGCACGCTCTGCTCAAACGCAAGCTTTCATCACGTGACGAGTTTTTTACTATATAATTTAGATGTACAAAAGCACGATCACTCCCTCTAAACGCACATTCCGATCTGCGAAACACGCCAACAGGTAAAGCTTGAAAAGGGGAAATTTTCACTACAACCTGCACGGCATGCATAGGACAAGCCTAGACCACTGGATATTTGGTGAGACTGCCCTCACGCTGAACGAAGAGAGTGATGGACAGTGTTTTCCCACCCAACTTTCCACAGACACATAGATCTAGGACTTGTCAATGAAATATTTGGGGGGCATTAGGTAGGCCTCTATAGGATTAAAGATGAGTCGAGTAAGCCTAATCAGCTGCGCTCGAAGAACTTGTAATGTACTCGTTCAAGGAATCACAAGAGAAAATGAGAAATGTTCCTCTAAATGTAGAGATCTATGATTCTGATGTCGTCCATGAAGTAGCGGTCAGCGGTGATCGCTTGGATAGCCAAGTGGCTGGGCCGTCGTCCCTATGACTATCACCGACAGTTTTCTTTTTAGGCTGTCTGTTCCCCACATTTTATGGTGCATATCATTACATTTAGTCTGTTTTTCTTACCCCCACCCCCCCATTCAACGCCTTTGTATTCTCAACCATAGTCGAGGAATCCCTCAGGAACCAATCACTTGTCGTCATATTATCAGCCAAAGTGACCCCCACCCCAAGGGAGGTCACTAGAATATCAAGACAATGAGATTACTGCGTCCCTTCCCCCCTTTGCAAAGGTTCATTATCATGTAAACGCACGCTCCGTATAAACACAAGAGCCTTCCCGAGCACCGGGCGTTTAGGCGGAGACTACTGTACAGCTAATGACTGTCCCAAGTGTATGTAAACGCAGAGGGAAAATTTTTAACGCTGTGGATAGTCATAGACTTGTTGACTGTCCAGAGGGACAGTTTTCGGACTGGTCAAGTGGTAGACCAGCAAGTAGAACAGAAACATCGCAGTAGACTGCGACATCGTCAATTGGACTAGTACAAAATTTGTTTTATCTCTCAATATTTCTGCCTGAGTTTCATCTGAAATTATTACAAATAGGATAAGGTATATTAAGTTCTCTATTGGAAGAAGTTGAAGAGAGTCCTTTCACTCAATCAAGTTTACATGCATAGCATCAGATCAACAAGTCTTTTGTTGTTTTCTGGAACTAAATTACTGTTCTTGTGCGGATATGCTTCTCTTTACTCAAGTGCCATGTCTATGTGTTTCTTGCTGTGTGTGTATGTGTGTGTAATAATTACATTTTAAGAATGCAATTGTCTTCATTTTCTTGTCTGTCTGCTAAATGACCTACGTTGTTTTGAGTAGGGCCTAAAACTTTTACTATGACATTAATCACCATTTCTTGCCTTATTGTTTTCAGAGAGCAAAGCCCATCAGTGATGAAATGCAAGAAAGGTCGAAACCTGCATGTCTTTCACGTTTTTCAATATTTGCAGTCCTAACTATATCTTTGATATACTTTTGTTCCCATTCATTTTCTCTTTTTACATATGGTCGGCATCATTCCACTTGCGCTCATCTCATTTTTCTCAAGTTTTGAGGAAATTAAACAAGAACAGATCGCCCGAATCAGAACCATGATTGAGGTACCTGTGATTTTTCAGTTTGAACTTGAGAAGGAAACAATTAAACTCAATTTTGATATTCCCCTTGGTCTTCATTTGAGTAGTGGGTTTTTTTATCTGGAAACCCCTGGGAAGTGATTTGGGTGTTGGCGTAATGACTCGTATGATATATCATCATATTTTATTCCCTTTTTTTTGTCATTGGCTTTTTTTTTAACTTGGGGAAACAAGATGTTTGTGTTTCCATCTTCTCTCTTGGTGCTGAGTATTTGGGCATTAATTTGTAGCTTGTCAACATGGTTTTATATATTTTTGAAACAGCTATTTCTATATATTATGTGTCCTTTGAACTGTGATGATTATTTTATCAATAAACATGTTATATAGAGTATGAAGACGATTCACCTGCGTTTGTCATTATTGTTCTTCGCCATTTGAAAATGAGTGCATCTTAACCTTTCAGTTTGAATCATACTAGACTGTTGTGCAGATTTAAGGTTACCTTGGTTCAAATCACCTTTGGGGCATTCTTAAACATAAGTTGTTTTCTTAAAAAAGATTTCTCCACTTTTTACCCTTCTGGACTCGCATCTTTGTTGAAGTGTAGTTAGGCTTTTCACCATCGCACAGAGAAGATTCTTTTCGAGCATCTCCATCTGACTGTTGGTGCATGTATGTTATTACATCCCACTCACCCTGGATTGGCCCTGACAGATAGGATACAAGTAGTCTGCCTGCCTCCAGATCTAAATTGTGTCGTTGGGGCTGTAAAACACTTACGACATTTACAATTACGCTCCTCTTTGGCTGAGAGTGTGTTAGAGATCAATTAGTTCCAGAACGTCCCACTACGAGGAGAGTTGCATCCATCTCTTTTACTTTAGTTTTAGTAAGATTAAGAGTTTTATGGCACTTGCAACACAATTAGGTCATATAAGTGCCGAATGATCCATCTCTTTTTTTTAAATTTAAGTGTTTCACAGCACTCGCAACTGCATAAGACAAGGTCATATGGTTCGTAGGACACATTCAATATTTTCTTTTTGGTAGGAATTAATTTTGAATTTTGCCCAGGTGGCAGCCAAAGCCTACTCTTATCGATTTTGAACCTCCAAGGGATCTTTAACATGCGCAACTTGCACATGAGACATCCAAGATTTTTTTGCCCTTTTCCGAGAAGGCTAGGTGTAACATCGTACTTACTCTAAGATCGGGGGCGTGGCTGAAAGACAGCAGTACGAAGGACCCAAGGAGTAGCAGTAGAAAGAGCCAAGAGAAGGGGGCACGGATGAAGGCAAAAAGTGGAGATGAAAGCAGACGACAAAACGTGGTTAGGGTAGAACCATATTAACGCCCGACACCGACAGTCAGACCAGACCCGCCGTTTACCGTAGGTGCGGCCGACCATATTAACACCGGGGTTTGGCGGTCAGACACTGATGTCTTGCAAATATGGCGTGTGGTGGAAGAAAATTGCTGTTGTTGTTGCTTTTGAGACGCAGACAAAAAAGGAAAACCAAGACAAGCAGATTTTCAGTGCATCCCATCCAAAGAAAGCGTGATACACTAGGTGAATTTCATCATTTGTTTCCCCAGTTGTTGGAAGAGAGTGAAAAATTCCAACAATACTATCGCATGAAACATAGCAGTTTCAATAAACTGCTAGAGATATGCAGAGCTGACCAAGAACTGCTAGAATTCTGTGTAGTGGCTTTGAGGCGGGAAAGGAGATTAAAATTACCTCCCATCTCGCACGACGGACCGTCTTCGATAGAACATATTTTATCGGAGACGGTCTGACCGGGGACGACACAGGACGTCGGGCGCCAGTATGGTAGCAGAAACCGTTTTTTGTTACCTTCCATTACTAAAGAGTCGGTGCGCATTCTTTTGTGCCTGAAGACGGTCTGGTCTGACCGTCCGTGCCGGGCGTTAATATGGTTGCAGCTTTACAGAGCGTGAAAGGAGGACATTTTAGAGAAGAACATTTTCCCTCGCTGTACTGTCAGGTTTCAAACCCGGGACCTATTGAATGAGAGGCGAACAACGTAACCTCTAGATCACGAGAGCCCCCTTGCATCCAACCCAGAGGCGAAGCGTCTATATAATCAAATAATCACTGCTTCCCTTCTTAATTTTGAAACATTGTCGCAGTCAAATTCACCCACAGACGTAAACCTCATAAATTAAATGTAAAAAGACGTTCATAATCACCAATGAACAATAGACTATGCCTAGCCTTCAAAACCGTTTCATTGCCACAGAAATAGCCTGTTCGCCCCTATCGGGCCACTCCATAAGCAGTCACAAGCTTTGATTAAGTAAGCTTAAAGTGAGGCTGGAAGAGTCAACCAATACAGTTAAAAGGAACATGTGCATTGCAGTCAGAACTGTTTCATTGTCGCATATACCCTGTTCACCCCTTTCGGGCCACAGTTATAAGCACCCAGACGCGTTGATTAGGTAAGCGAACTATTACACTGGTCGAGTCTACCTCACAGATGTGAGGGGAACTGACTCCTAATAATCCTTTGACTCCTGCTACTACACTGCTAGTGCTTGGTTTTTTTCCTCGACTTTTTAACATCCTATAATCAGATCGTGACCTCGATTATGACACCGGCTCCTGGCCGCGAAAAGCTAGACAAAAAAACAGCCAAATGTGAAATAAAAAATTAATACTTGGCATGCTCTACCAAAGTGTCTGGTATAACATGCCATTGTACTGCTGACATCTCTGCTTCTTTCCTTGGTGTTCGTGTGTTCAAATCTAAAGTTAAATTTAAGGTTAGTTAGAATAAATATTTAATGAAATACTTTCCCGATTATTTTAGCGGTTGAACAAGCATACAACATGAATTCAGGATTTGTTTTCATTCACAACTCCGAGTTGCCGCCTCCAGTGCCAGTAAGATTCTTGTGACTTGTGTGAGTGTGATATCTCCAGGCCCTATCTGGTTCCATTTCACATTGATTACCCTGTCAAACAAGTCAGCCTTCGCCCCTGATCCAACCAACTCTTTTAGTTTAGTTTTAGTAAGAAGAGTTTTATTATGGCACTTGCAACACAATCAGGTCATACAAGTGCCGAAGTATCCATCTTTCACTGTACGAAATGAATAATAAAGAGGTGAAAGTTAACTTTTTGTCTTTCATTCATGCAGAACTTGCTTAACCTAGTATGAGTGGGTGGTTGGCGGTTGCCATGGTGTGGTCACTTTGCTCCTCCTTTCCTATCCCATATTTATCATCTTTACCTCTCTTCCTTCTTCGTAGTAACAACACCTCTAATCGTTGGCGCTTGTATGACTTTATAGTGCTGCAAGTGCCGTAAAAAAAATCTAACAAGAAAAAAAACCCGAATAATATGCACATCTCAGAAATGTGGTTTCTTAGGAGACTACTGAGAAAATCGTGGAAGAAAAAGAAATCAATTGAGGTAGTACTTGATGAAGCACACGTGGGACGCTCACTGTTTAAAAACAATCAGGAAAAGACTAACGCAGTTTTTGGAACATCTGAATAGACATATAGGTCTTGAATATCTAGCTCTCACTAGCAAAATTGAACGCAAACGAGGCTGTGGTAGGTCCAGAGCAACCTACTTAAAGAACTTAAACATATGGGTAACAGGGGGGAGGGGGGTAGCGAAGCTTTTTTAAGAGCATCCGAGCAAAGGAATGAATGGAGAAATATGATTGTCGCAGATCTGGCACTTGGTGATGATGATGCGCATCATGTCTCCGCAAAACTCTTAACATCACAAGACGAGACAGGCAGAGAAATGAAGAAGAAAGAGCAGCTTTTGCCACAGAGTCCTGCCTGCATTTCATAGGAAGACAGAAAAGAAAATGGTTTGACCAACTGTTTCGTAAGCCACCTAGCCAGCCAGCCTCGAGAGCCTATAACACCAAGCACTCAGACTATAAAGGAAGAGGAAGGCCACGCAAAAAGTGGATTGATGGCATCAAATTCAAAGAAACCCTGAGAAATCATAATATCCCAATTGAAAAAAGCCGAAAAGCTGGCCTACTTAGAAAACTGCAGCTCCCCCATAAGGCTTAATGGCAACAGAGGATGGAAACGTAAAAGTAAAGTAGTAGAGGCGTATCTGCTGGGGTCTCCAGTATGTTTGGCCACATTTGGGTTGCTGTGACGTTATTCACGAAATGAAAGAAGCTTGTGTAACTTATGGGGTGGGGGTCAAAATTCACTTTTATCAATAATATTGTGTCAAAAAAGACCAGCATTACTTTTAGAAAAACAGTTCTAATATTATAGAGCAAGACTTCTCCCCCCAAGACCGAACATTGACATCACACTCATTAGAACAACAACAACAACAACAACCAACACCCGTCGTTCCTATTCCCCTCCTGCATGAGTAGTTGCTAGTTGGAGGGCGCCACTGGTAGGTCTTCTTTTTCTTCTCTCTCTCTCTCTCTCTCTCTCTCTCTCTCTCTCTCTCTCTCTCTTTGTCCTCTGTAGTTTATGTCCAGATCAATCTTGCTTCTTACCTTCACTAAATGACAGTCATTACGTCGATATGTTCTGTTTACTCAAATTCAAACTCAAAACTCAACCCTACCACGCTAGTTACCACCAACTATTCAGCAGGCTCTTTCACAGGGTTCTGTGTCTGCTATTTCCTAAGTTGTTTCCCTTGTGACACCAACAACTTTATGGCAAGGTTCAGTTACTGAGAGTTGATTGCCTAGTTTAGTTAGTTCAAACGAGGACAGTTTGCCTCTGATATTATATTGTATAATATATATATATATTGATTCCGGTTTTATTTATGTGGTTGTGTTTTTTGTTGCTGTTTTTTGTTTTGTTTTTGTTTTATTTGTTTGTTTTTTTGTGGGGGGTTTTTAGTTGTTTTTTTGTTGTTGTTAAGTTGTTGTTATTGTTGTTGATATTTTGTTTTTGTTGCTTTTGTTTGTTTGTGTTTGTTTTTGTTCGTTTGTTTGTTTGTTTGTTGTTGTTGTTTGGTTGTTGGATTTTTCCCCCGGGGGGGGGGGGGTTATTCCCGTTATTTTGTTACCCGTTCTTCAATCCCGTTTTTGAAAACTAAACCTCATTTTGCATTTCTGTAATCGAAAAGTGCGTTTGTTAAAGATTTTAGGACTTAATAACCCCATATTAAATGTTTTCAGTTGTGTCTTTTAGCCGGTTATTTTGTTAGTTTATTACATTAAATTTTATTTTGTTTTGTTTTTAATTTCGCAAATTTCCAGTTATTTAAACGTAGTCTCGGTGGCGTCCCTTTTGTTAGCTTAGTGTTAGTAAGGTTTTACGGAGCTCAAAACTGCATAAGGTCATATATGGGCGCCAAGAGGTGGTTGTCAACAGAGAAGTCCGAACTGGGAATTGGGCTTACTCTGCTCGCCTCTCTAGCCT